GGGAAAGAATTGTCTCATACAAAACTAGTGATAAAGGACTGATCACAAAGATATATAAAGAACTGATGAAACTCAACAAAAATAAACAACCCCATCAAAAAATGGGCAGAAGATCTAAAAAGACACTTCTCCAAAGAGGAAATGCAGACGGCATACAAGCATATGAAAAAATGTTCAACATCGCTTGTAATAAGGAAGATGCAAATTAAAACCACAGTGAGATACCACCTCACCCCAGTGAGAATGGCACATCTTCAAACAACTAGCAACAACAAATGTTCCCACTGCTGGTGGAAATGCAAACTAGTACAAACACTGTGGAAAACTGTTTGGAGGTTTCTCAGGCTGCTAAAAATGGAGCTTCCCTACAACCCAGCAATCCCACTCCTAGGTATCTACCCAAAAGACAAAAAAAAAAAACACTGATTCAAAAAGACACCCCCATGTTTATTGCTGCTTTATTTACAATAGGAAAGACATGGAATCAACCCAAATGCCCCAAAGTAGATAACTGGGTTAAAAAGATGTGGTACATATACACAATGGAATATTACTGAGCAACCAAAAAAAACCCACATGCCTTTTGCAGGAACATGGATGGAACTGGAAGGGATCATGCTTAGTGAAATAAGCCAGAAGAAAAAGAAAAGTACCAGATGGTTTCACTCATAGCAGGAGCATAAAGGATGGGGGGTGGTGGGAAATAATGAACAACTATGTACCAGAGACATTTTATGGGGGTGGAATGGGGAATGGGATCAAAAATGGCAGGACGGGGGCGTGGGGGTGGGAAGTGCCCTGGAGTATGGTGATGGCACACGGGTGAATTGGTGATGGGAAGTCCACAGGGATTACAACTGAGATGGAAAAAAGGCACAAAATGATGTAAAAATAAACTATTATAAGGTGGGTCAGCTCCCAGCTTGGGGATCAGTCTGGTGCTTAGTGGGTATAGATGGCTTCATAGTGCTGAGACATAATCCCTCGTGCAACATTCTTGTTTTAATGTTACTTCCTTTATTTTAAAAACAATAAACAAGTCAATTGGTCCTGAGCAGTATTAAACCTCTTTCCTAAGGTGAAATAGAGGTTAGGTTTTCATCTAAATGGTTTAATGTATGGCCTCCAAGGGTTTTCACTGGAGCTCTGTGAACTGAGGACAAAGGCACTTTGCAGTGGTATAAGTGTGCAGATTGTAGACTCTGAAGTGACGGTAAGAATTGATCTTCTAATGAACAAAATCAGGTGAGTGTTTCCTAAGATCAGCAATACCCTTGTGCCTATCCATTAATGCTAGAAGTTTTCAAATTATTACCTCTGAGATTCTGGAATCTCTTCTGGGTTCATCTTTGATTCTGGGCCTGGTCTTCATCTTTGACCATTTTCCATCCCTACTAATTCAGGGATGCAGAATATTCAGAACCACTGAAATGATTTGAAAGAAAAATACTGGAAATGAACAATTGTAGTGAAATTGAAGTGTGAAAATTCTAATTCATAGTTGCTAGAGTGGTCATTTAGTATGTAAATAAGACACCAGTGTCCTCAAATTACCAGAGAAGCCATCTGCAAAATGTTACAGGGCTGTCCAGGCCTACAAAAATGAGGAAATAGTCTGTTTGGTGGCTTCTAATACACTCTTCAAATTTTATTTGTTCTGTCTTCTTGCCCCTTCCTCTGAAGAATCAACTTTTTCATAAGCAGATAGTGCTGGTAAAGAATCAGTTCCTTAGCAGAAGTTATACATATGTGAATAATTGTCCTCATTAATTAATAGTACAACTCAAGTCACTTTATATATGCAGTCACTATTGCATCCTTTTTGAATAACCTGTGTTTACCCCGACTCAGCATATTTCCTGCACTCAATACAAATGCGTGGATTTAAAATAAGCTTCAGCTATTGCTTGAATTAAGGTCTTGTTACATGAAGAGGAAAACATTTCGAAAAATGAAATGGTTCTTTAACTTTCTGCAGTTGAATAGCTTTATATTCTTTTCTCCTTTGCAGAATTTACACTTTTAAAATGTCATTAACTAGAGAAAGAAGTATGCTTAATGTTTTGGAGTCTGTCTACTAAAGCTTGTTGCTTAGTACTCTTAGGGTTTGACATTAGTACTTGGCTTATTATACCTCCCATAGTATATAATTAATATTTGGATTTGCAATTAAGTAGGTCAAATGCATTTGAAATACAAGGGCAGATTAAAAAGACTAGAAATGTACTATTGCTTTAGGACTCGGTCTTTGTTTTAAATATTAATCTTCCGTTAATGATGATAACAAAAAATTCTAAATAATTTAGAAGGAATTCCAAAAAGTTGAACAGTTTTAAGTATTTGAGTTCTGTGTAGTATCTTCCAATTAAAGAAAAGAAAGTTTCTGAAGACTGGAAGATACTGTCCTGGAAAGTCCTTATGACAAGTCTCATTTGGAGCAATTAGAAAAAGTTGTATTGGAAATAATGCCTTTAAAGTAAATGTTAGACTTAAAATTTTATTGGGGTGCTGTAGGTTCAAAAGCTATCTTTTTGCAGTAAGTACCAGACAGGTGAATCAGCGTAACTCTGCAGTAGTCTCTGCAGCATTTTGGCATTTTGTGCTGAAGGTGCTTTGTTTAGATTTTTAAGGTTCACTAATATTACAGGGATTATAAATTAAATTTAGTCTCTAAGTCTTTACAGACATGTCAGCTACTTAAAAGAGTGCCCAGTGGTTTTAACTCAGTTGCTTTAACATATGTTAATATTTGTATCTGCTAGCTGGTGTTTCTTCTATATATTGATAATTCAAGACTCAGTAGCAGACCAGTGGTTTTCTAATTGCCACAGTGACAGAAGGAGGGGACCAGTTTCCTTCCTGCCTCCAAGGACTTGCCAGTTATGCACCAGTTGTATTTTGAATTCTTTTTATTCACATAGACCCTCTAACCAGAGAATTTGGAAAGAAGACAGTTTGGTAATGATTGAGATTGATCAAGATGATTTAAGAGTTGATACCATAAATTTGTCAGTGTTTGCTAGCTGTTGTAGATAGAGTGCCACTCTGTACTTGTTGAAAATGTGGTGCTTTTCCCCCTTCCTCCAAATCTTAGTTATGATTCACAAAAGTTACTGAGTTGTTTTTCAGCTTATTAAAGGAGAAAATGAAAGTAAAAATTGAGTTACGCTAATGAATTGAGTTTTATACATTTGTCAACAGAATTCTATTTTTAGTTGAATAACAGCTTGCGATCTAGTTACTATAGTTTATAGAATGTATAACTGGCTGTGGTTTTGAATGTTATTCTTAAGACTGTAGTTAGTGACCCACTAGGTTTTAATTGCAGGGAAATCTCAGAGAATGTGATAAAGTTTGGTTTAGCGTAGGAAATATCCATTCTTGCTTTCCTCGAAGTTGGCATCAATAAGTACTTAATGACAGCAAAATATATTGAAAACATGTTCTGTAAAGTCTAGCTATTATTAAAATGCCATAATAACTGTGTGTGAGTGATAACTGCTTTTTTGTTGGAGAAACTGTGGTAAGAGGTCCTCCCTGGTGGCACAGTGGGTTAGGGCCCAACACTGCAAGCTAGCTGCAGCCGCTTCAGTGAATGTTCCATCCCCAGCCCTGGAGATGACCCACATGGTGCAGCAGACCTCTCCTGTCTCACCCACTGCTGCCCTCAGCAGTGTACTTCATTGATCTGCCTGTTCTGCTCCCCACGTTGCCTCTAGTGAGTCTTCTCACTGCCCCTGCACCTCTGGCCAGTATCCCAGTTCTGTGTGCATAAAATAAATAAATCTTAAAAAAAGAAAGAAAGAGAAAGAAAAGAAACAGTGGTAAGAGGAAGACTTCAGGAAACTCCTTAAGAAAAATATAAAATAAGTGGCAAATTGAAAATTATAAAAAGGGAATGTGGGTGAGAAATAGAAAGACATGTATAGGCTTGGCCTTGTAAATTTCATTTAAACTCCTTTCCTTGGGCTTTGCAGATAAGATTGTTTATTCTCTTTATTATGTTTTAAAATACCACTTTTATATCTATAATTTACAATAAATTAATGCCAAAATCCATTTTAATGTAGTATAAAGCTTTCAAATTTGAGTTCTGCAGTATTGGGGAACAAACTGTACGAGTACTAACTTTTTGCTTACTTGTGGCTCCTGACTGTATGTGTTGCTTATAAAGCAGAAGCTGCACAGAGTCTGTCCTGTTGGTGTTTCACTGAGCATTTGCTGTTGTTTAGAACTGCTTGTCTCCTCATTGACTCAGTGTTCCCACGTGCTGTAATCTCTACACCAGACGAGAGCATCCACCAAGTGCAGACTTCCAAGTGGGAGCCAAAGTAAGGGTAGGAAATGAAGCTTCTATAAAATTTTGTGGACAACTGTTGCAGAATGTTTTTTTTGAAAATGGTGCCTAATAAATGGAAAAGTAGGTCACATCTCATTTTTTATAGTCTTTCTACATCCATCTTTCAAAAGTTCGCTTATGCTCAGTGATCAAAGTAGACATTTACAAATAGTGTGGTGTGGAAATAATTTTAAAATAACAATTTAAATAATTAAACAATTTTGTATTTTTTCCATTTTCTGTAAGCAATGGCTTTTTTAAAAAGCCTTGTTACAACTAACAACACATTTGATCATTTCTTCTCATGGAAAGGGCTGGATGACTAAGAGACATGAATGATCCTGTGGTTTTCTTTTATTCTCATCAAACTTTATTCCCAATTTTAGTCAGCAAATGAACTGTTTAGAGTTCGTTTTCCTTTACTAGCTATTGTTATTGTTAGCTTACTTTAGTAAGCAAGAAGAACTTGAGTCAACAAGTTTGCAATAGAAAGGAGAATGTATGGAGTCTAATAAAAATAAAATTACCAGAGCCTGCATTATTCAAGGAGTTTCTGAATTGAAACATGACTTTAAATAGGGGTGGGAGTGTGGGCTGCCTCAAATCTTAACTTTGAAATTAAAGAAAATTTAAGTTATCAATTATTTATCATCCATTTACTATGGTTAACATAAAGAAACATGTAAGGTATCATAAGACTTTTTGGGATGAGATGGTTGTAAATGAGTATTAAATATAGTTTTGATGTTCTAATATTTGAGAGTAAAACAGTTTAAAAATAGACTTTTGGTTCTTTTGGTTTAATTAAAGGGAATGTGAGTTCATGTGGAGGAAGAAACTTTCCAGTATTCAGAATTCTTTCTCAGAGCTGTCTTGTTTTCTCATTCCAGACACATAAATGGTAGAACAGCAGCACAGCATCTTATGTGACTCAGCTCAGCTCTTATCATATACTTTGGTTAATTTACTGTTTGTACGTTCTTAATAAGTAATCATCACAATTGTAATAGCCCTATCTGGTGGGCTATTTATATATTTCAGCTCATTCCACCATCACCACTAACTTATATGAAAGAGTTGTCTTATTCTCATGTTATGGATAAGATCTCTCTAGAGAGGGAGGAGGGAGCCTTAGAGTGTGGTGAGGAAGATACTAGTTCAGGTGGAGAGACTGCAAACCCATGCTCCAGAGCAGTCAGGAAAGCTGATTTGGAGTTAGAACTGCTGCTGCTTAATGAGAAAGGAAAGAAAAAATAAGAATGGGGTTTGTGTGAATGGTGATGACTTCATTTAGGATGGTTGCCTTTTAAGGAAGGGAAGCACAGATTTTATAAAAGGGGGTTACATCCATCCACTTTTATTTTTTGGTAAGATTTGTTATTTTCCACCTTGAGTTGCATAGATTTTTGTTAGACAGTTCTTTGAACATTATTAATAACATTTAAATTTGGACCGTGCTTGTGATGGAATCACAAGCTTTGAATAATTAGATAAAATTGGGGATATTTCATCAGTGTGAGCATCATAGCTACCATGTCTTAATGTGGTTAAGGATATTTACTAAACATTGAATTTTATGAAATCTCTTAAAATGTTCTTTAATGCGGCCCTCCCTGGTGGCACAGCGGGTTAAAGCACAGCACTGAGAATCTAAAGCCGCTTCCGCATGAGTTCGATTCCCGCCTGCCCCGGAGGTGACCACATGGCGTGGCAGACCTCTCCTGACCCGCCCGCTGCTCCCCTCAGCAGTGTACTTCGTTGATCTGCCTGTTCTGTTCCCCACTCTGTCTCTGGTGAAGCCTCTCGCCGCCCCTGAGCCTCTGGCCTGTACCCCAGTTCTGTATGCACAAATAAATAAATCTTTAAAAAAAAAAAAAAAGAAAAAAAATGTTCTTTAATGCATATTTAAAATTAAAAGTTTTACCTCCCTTTCTTTCTTCCCTTCCTCCCTTCACTTATTGTAGAAATATTAGACCATAGCAATTAACACAAACAGATAAAATCCCATAGTCTTACCACTGAGGTAAATGTATTCTCATTTTTTTTCTTTGTGTTGTTTCTTTCAGAAATATGGCTATATACATCTTTCTGCAGGAGACCTTCTTCGTGATGAAAGGAAAAACCCAGAATCGCAGTATGGTGAACTCATTGAGAAATACATTAAAGATGGAAAGATTGTGCCAGTTGAAATAACCATCAGTTTGTTAAAGAGGGTAAGGAGTGTGAATGTCAATCAATTTAAGCCAGCAAGGAAATGTGAAATTAATTGCACCTTTCCTTTAAGTAATGAAGGAATCAGAGTATTTAACTTTTGCTTGTGTCATGGTGTTTGAGAATGGCAGTAGAAGTCCCACTTTCACCGAGGAAGAAATTGGGCAGTAGTAGGGATTCTTTTCCTAGTCTAGGAGTAGCTGCAGCTCAGTTTACCATCCGTATATATACACTGGACCTTTTGTTGCCAATGCACAGTTCTCTCTTCTGTTTTCGACGTCTTCTTCCTTTTCTCCTCTTCTCCTCCTTTCTCTTTCTCTGAGAGACTGAGGCCTTCAGAAGTGACATGCTTCCTATCACAGCAAAGTGACTTAGGAAGGTGATCAGGCTCTTTAGTAGTTGAAGCAAAAATAGGGCTTGTCTCTTAACACTATTCATGACTGTAGACATGTGGAAAAAAATATATTTATGTGGATATATGAAAATAATATATGTTTATTGTGGAAAATACAAATTACAGAAAAAAAAAACAGTGTAAAAGTATGTGTACAGAATGGGAGGAGGACCACAATACCCATATACAGAGTGAGGGAACCATAATGCATTGGCTTATTTCCTTGAAGTCTTTTTTTTCTTTCTCTGCACCTTTCAATCTACTTATGATTTAAAAATGAATAATAAAACTCATATATATCTACTGCCTGCTTAAAAAATTACATCTTGTTTCAAACTGAATCTTCTTTTGCCTTTAGGAAATGGATCAGACAATGGCTGCCAATGCACAGAAGAATAAATTCTTGATTGATGGGTTTCCAAGAAACCAAGACAACCTTCAAGGATGGAATAAGACCATGGATGGGAAGGCAGATGTATCTTTCGTTCTGTTTTTTGACTGTAATAATGAGGTAATGAAATTATTCATTTGCCTGTGTTGGCTTTAAGTAGCCACCGAACAGTAAAGAAAAGTGTGGGCTTTAAAATTTATATTTATATATTTTATACTGTTATTTTTAATTGGTAGATTGAGTGGACAGAACAGGGCTGTGTTGCTGGTGGAATATTAAAATCTGCTTGAGATCAGCAAACTTGTAGACCTAAATTTTGAAAAAAGTTTTTTTTTTTAAATTGAGAACTGATTTATATAATATTAAGTAATAAGTTTAATTATTACTCTTGGATATGCTCTGTTACCAGAGTATCTTACCTTAGGTTGTCATTTTTGGAAAACAAACATTTCTGGCACGGTGAGAAAACTCTTTTTAAAAGAAATACACATATAAATACATATGTGTGTGTGTGTTTATATATTTATGATAGCCCAATTTGTCTTCTAAGAATGAAATGATCTTGAGAATAGCAGGAGAGCTTTCTTTTTCCCTCGGGAACTTCTAATAACACACCCAGACATACCTTTGAATAACTAAGTGAATTTCTCGGAATCATTTAATTAAGAGGCCTGACTTTTTGACAGCTGTAATATAAACTTCATTAAATTAATGCCGACAGCCTGAATGAATAAGAATCTGAAATAGTGCCTTGAAGGAAGTTGGCTTTTCTTGGGTTGAATGGCAAATGTGCCTCTGGTAGAGACTTGTAGCCTTTGAGTTGTTTTAAATGTAACTCTTTTCTTCCAACCCCAAAAAATGTGTTTTCACTTATGCTTCAAAGTTAACTTTAGAATGTTACCACAACTTTATAACTAAGGAATGTTTATTCATGATTAACAAGGGATATTCTATTCAAATGCAAATATGGTGACTTAAATATTTGGTTATTGAAGGAATTAATTGAAAAGTAAGCAAAAATGGAACAAAGTTTGAGGCATGTAATTCATACCTAATAAGTTAATAATATATCCTAGATGGAACCATATATATATACAGATCTTCTTTTTATTGCGGTTTGAAAAAAAAAAATACACAGGAAAAACTGAGTCATGAATGAATTCTTATTCTGCTCTGTACTTATTTAACCTAGTTTATATAAATCGAACCACATGTTTGAATTTAAAGGAGCTCTGCATGTTGATTAATAAATTAGACACATTGGGCTTAATGCAGGTTTTTTGAAAATAATCATTTCAAACTTTATTCTCTTTTCAACATAAGAGAATGGCAAATTCATATCTGTGTACTATTTTTTTTAAAGATTTATTTATTTATGCTAACAGAACTGGGGTACAGGCCAGAGTTTCAGGGGCAGTGATAGGATTCACCAGAGACAAGAGTGGGGAGCAGATCAGGCAGACTGACAAAGTACACTGCTGAGGATAGCAACGGCCGGGTCAGAAGAGTTCTGTCACGCCATGTGGGTCAGCTCCCTGGCCTGGGATCAAATTCATGCTGCAGTGGCTTTGGAGTGCTTCATAATGCAGTGCTTTAACCTGTTATGCCACCAGGGAGAGCCCTCTGTACTTTTTTAACAACATATAAATTTTAAAGATTTATTTTTATTTTTGCATATAAGAACTGGGGTATAGGCCAAAGGTGTGGGGGTGAGAGGACTCACAAGAGACAGAGTGGGGAGCAGAACAGGCAGACTGACGAAGTACTCTGCTGAGGGGAGCAGCAGGCAAGACAGGAGAGGTCTGCTCTTGTGCCATGTGGGTCACATCCCTTGCTGGGGATTGATCTTATGCCACAGTGGCTGGTGATAGGTTAATAACACTGAGACTTTAACCCTTGTGCCCCTGAGGAAGCCCTTAATAACTTAATTATTTTTCTTTTTAGATCTGTATTGAACGATGTCTCGAGAGGGGGAAGAGTAGTGGCCGGAGTGATGACAACAGAGAGAGCTTGGAAAAGAGGTACTTACAGTTTTTTTTTAAAGATTTATTTATGCATACAAGAACTGGGGTACAGGCCAGAGATGTGAGGAATGAGAGGATTCTGGGGTACAGGCCAGAGGTGTTGGGGGGGGTGAGAGAATTTACCAGAATTTACCAGAGACATAATGGGGAGCAGAACAGGAAGATCTACTGAAATGATGTGCTGAAGGGAGCAGTGTGAGGGTCAGGAGAGGTCTGCTGGGCCATGTGGGTCACCTCCCTGGCTGGGGATTGAACTCATTCTGCAGTGGGTACAGCTAACTTCACAGTGCTGTGCTTTAACCCATTGCACCACCAGCGAGGACCTTGCTTCGCAGTTTTTACACATAGCAACCTAAGTCCCAGTTTGGAACTTCAGTCACATTAAATACCTTCTGCACTTTGGTCCAGAAAAAGAAAATGCCAGGCTGAAATAGTAACAGGACGTGTCTCAGAAGATGATGAGGGAGTCAGTGTTGGGTCTGTGATGTCAAACTCAGAGCTATCCTATAACATGGAGGACAGTGGATGGATTCTTAGAATTTTGCAACATTTGGTTGTTTTTGTTTTTGTTTTTTGCAGAATTCAAACTTATCTTCAGTCAACAAAACCAATTATTGACCTATATGAAGATATGGGGAAAGTCAAGAAAATAGATGCTTCTAAATCTGTTGATGAAGTGAGTATCCTAGTTTGCCTCTAAAAAAACAAGTCAAGTGAAATTGTGATTTTTTTTTTTGTGGAGAGGATGGTCAGGAGAAAAAGAAATACTATGACATAGTAGTTGGGTTTTCAGAGACCTAGAGCCTAATGAAAAATGTAACCCTTTTTGGGTAGGCACTAAAATAGGTTTTACAGCTTCAGACTTATTCTACATAAGAAGTGGCTGGTTTATTAATTAACTCTCAAGCACTGGAAAATTGGCATTTTGAAAACTAATTTGGACCATATTTATTCTTTAAAAATCTATGACATGAAGAACAAGTCATCTAACTTGCCCCAGCTGTTTCATCTCTTCCGTCACAGAGCACATGGCTGCAGAGTGTGAGGCTTCCCTGGCTCCAGGGCGCCAGCGCTTTCTGCAGTGAAGGCTCGCAAGGAGTCAGTGTCCGGCAGATATTTCTAGTGTCTTTCAGTTTACCTAGTCTCCCTTTCCTTACTCCCAGAGTCTTCATCCTCTGGACCTTTTTATCATACAACCATTTCTGGTTTTTTATTCATTGGCACTTATGAGGTAAAGTAATACCTCAGAAAATTCTGTTTTAGAATCATTACTAAGGAGATCAGCCACATTATTTTTTTTTTCAGATGCTAAAATTTTTAAATTTTAATATAAAAATCAGTCAAAGTTTAATCTTGTTTTTAAAATAATATAATAGTTTGTTTTTACATCATTTTGTGCCTTTTTTTTTTTAATCTCATTTGTAATCTCTATGGGCTTCCCATCACCAATTCACCCCTGTGCTATCACATAGACCAGTGCACTTCACCACCCCCCTCCATTTTTGATCCCATTCCCCACTCCACCCAGTAAAATGTCTCTGGTATTATCTCCCCTCC